TGCTGCGGATGATACGCTGGTCGCCAGCCCACAGCAGCCCCGAGGTGGGGCTCAGGGCCCATCTTCTGTGTGAGACGATTAGCTCAGAGCGCTCAGGCAGGGTCGGAACCCACGTCAGCCTGGGTCCGGGGCCTGTTCTTGCATCTCTTGCTCTTCCCGCTGCCTCCCTCCTGCCCCCCGGGGGAAGCAACGGCCCTCCCTCCCGAGCGCTCTGGGATCCTCCAGGGCAATCCCGCTCAGTGGCACCGTCTTCGTCTCGCACCTAGGTGGTGGGCTTGGTGAGGGCAGGGCCGGGGGCCCCTTTGCCTGCGTTCCCCACGATGCCCAGCCAGTGCCTGGCACACACAGCCCTGCACAGGGAGGAATGAACGAGCACACGAGTGAGCAAAAGAAAAAACCAGTGGGTGAAGCAGGGTCCAGAGGCAGGTGGCGACAGGAGTGGGCAGTGTCGGGCATCTGCCCGGGTGAGGGCAGACAGGTGGCAGGTCACCGGTGGCCAACCAGCCTTAAAACAGGCGCATCCACGGATGGATGCTCTGCCGTGTTCCCGGTCATAAATCACAGGAGGAACCATGGAGATGAGTGCCAGGCTTTTCTTTCTATTTAGTAATTTATCAAGGGAAGAGGCGCATTAATAAACATATTTCCCTTGAGAGGTGGGCATAACAGAGATGAATATCACTGTCAGATTTGGCCTGTTTCCTCTTGTTAGGGGCGCACGAGAGGGTGGGAATCCAAACATTAGCAGCAAAATCTTTTTTTTTCTAAAAATGTGTTACAAAGACATGTGTGTTTCTCACTTTGCATGATGTTAGGTCTTTCCCCCTCATCTCTCCCCGTTCGCCACTCAGCTTGCACGTGGCAGGGGCTCGCAGAGGGCTCGCTTTCGCGTCTTGCTGTGGGTTCCTCCGACATGAGGAGTGGCGGGCGGAGCTCAGGAAGTACGAGCCGAGAGGCTGCGAGGGCCCGAATGAAAGCCGATGAGCGCATGCTTAGTGGCGGCTGCACTGCCACGTGGCCTGGTCACCGTTTCTAGACGTGCCGTCCTTCACTCCATCAACCGTAGGCTCAGCCTGCCGTCAGGACAGCCTCCAGCCCCTAAAGGAGCTGGATTAGTCAGCAGTTTCACCTGGGATGTCTGCTGGGTGTTAGGTGCTATCCTTGGTGCTCTATCCACGGCAACCCTGCACGACAAGCCGCCCTGTCCCCATTAGGGAGGTGGGGAGACAGAGGCTCAGGGAGGCTAAGTAACATGCTCCAAGGAGGCCACGAAGGGACAGGCGTGGCGTGGCTGGCAGCACAGGCTGTCTACGTGCCTCCGCGTCCTGTGAGAGTGTGTGTGTGTCCACTTGGGGCCTCCTCCCCCTGCGAGACACGTCTCCTCCCCACCCTGGGCACAGGTCCTGTGGCAGGTGGTCTTGGCGTCCCTGTGTCCGCCTTTCTCCTGGTCTCAACTTCCCGTGGCGATGTGGTCTTGGGTAAATTCCTCAGCCCGTGTGTACTTTCGTTCTATAAGATGAGGATGCTAAGAGCCCTTTCTGTCTGGGGCCATCAGGAAGCATAAATTACTGACACTTTGGCGTGCTTAGACCAGAACCCAGCGTACGCAGCGGAGCATCCAGTGTTTCAGCTGTGGGTGGCTGTGATCTACTGTCCTTCAAGACGTCCTGTCTATGCTATTGGTCAGCCCTTGGCACCTGCCACTGGGCTCACTGCTGAGCCAGCCGTATTTGAGTGTTGGGGATATAATGATTAGGTGGGGAAAAGATGTGAGTCCCTAATTCACGCGGGGAAGTGGGGAGACAGAAGCAAGCAGGTAACTACACAAGTGGATGCAGCTCACTAGTGCCACCACGTTTGGAGAGAGAGGCCTGGGCATGGGGAGGATCTGCCCCGCTTAGGGAGGTTGGGGAAGGCTTCCTGGGGGAGGGACGACTCGGCTGAGGTCTGAGCAGGGAGGAGGGCAGAGTGCTGCAGGCAGAGGAGGCCACACGTGCAAAGGCCCTGTGCAGGCAACATGAGGTGCTGGAAGGAGGCCGGTGTGGGTGGAGGAGAGAGGGGGACATGGGCAGGACGAAGCTGGAGAGGTGGGCCGGGCCACCCCGCAGGGCCACTGTGTAGACCTTTTTCATAACAGCAACAGGGAGCTTTGGAAAGTTTCGCGGGGAGGGCAAGGACATGATCCAATTTCCAAGTTGAAAAGCTCTCTCTGGCTGAGCAAGGACAGCAATGAGCTAAAGGCTCCAGAATGATCCAAGCAAGTGGTAGGCTAGGCTGGGGGTGGAGTCTGAAAGAAAGGGGATTTGAAGAGGGGTTCGGGAACCAACGTCGGTTGGCTCAGTTGTGAACAGGGTGTAGGGGCGGAGGGAGGAGGGAGAAGACCATGCACTGACTCCTGGTCTCCTGCTGCAGCGGGGTGGCGGTGCTTGCCGAGCCAGGCCCTGTGGGAGGCGCCGGCCCAGGCACAGATCGGAGTGTGGGGCCCCGTGTGCTGAGCCGGAGCTGCCTTCCAGACAGGAGGAGAGGCCGTGCAGGCAGTTGGGTCTGACTAAGTTCATTCTTCAGAGCCACTGAAAGTGGAAAGTCGACACCTGTTTGTGGGAGGTTTTGACCTCCTCGTCCTGGGCCCCTCCCCACTTGTCTGAAGACAGACAGTGAGGACACTGAGTCCCCAGAAAGTCCACACAACCGAAATCCTTCAGACCTGGGTTCAAATCCTGCCTCTATAACTCTGTGACCTTCAGCAAGTCACTAACCTCCCAAACCTGGTTTCCTTATCTGCACAGCAGGTTTGCTTGGAGAGTGGCGGTAGCTGTTAAATGAGTTGGTGGGTCTAAGTGTCACTAAACGATGGCTGTCACTGGGTTATTTATCACGCAAGCATTCCCAAGCAGGCACGTATCCAAATACCACACCAAAGGGACACACACTGGCCAGAATGGGTCTGTTTGTAGTCCAGGATCCCGGTTCAGAATGGGTGGTCACTTTGCAGCATAGCCTCAGGGTTGGCTGGGATGTGGGCCTGCTCCACGGGCCCCCTGTGCCTCCTCCTGTCCCCAGGCACATGGCCTGGGATCCTTCCTGCTGCAACAGAAGGAGGAGTTGTCTGAGTGAGTTCCCTGCCGGGACCCTGGCACCTTCTGTGTACTCACCATAGCGCTGCTTGCTGAGAGACCTGCAAGCCGCAGGCCTCTGAGCGCAGTAAACAGGCAGCAAAAACCAGAAACTTTAGCTGACAAAGATGTTGAGAGAAAGAATCTTCTGATTAGCTCAACTTCTCCTTCCAACCCGGAGCTTTCCTAAAATCACCTCACCCTTCTTGTTGAAAACAAAGCAAGTATGCAAAGTATAGGGTCACATGAGCATCACAACCGTGGGCCACCTCCACGTCCATCATCACAGTGGGTCCCAACGGCCCCAAAGCTGTAGGGGGTCTGCTTTATGCTCAGATTCTTGACGAAGATTCTGAGTCTTCGACAGAAAAGCGAGTTACCCCAAGCCAGACCCTGCGGCCAGGGCTGCCTGCCTGGAGGAGGGGATGCCTAGGCCAGGGTCTGCACAGGTTTGAGCAGGTGGAAGGGAGAGAAGGCACACATCACGAGCCAAGCACAGACATGGGTGTGTTTGAGCAGCCACCAGGGTTATTACAGGTGACACCTCCAGCCCAGGGGGAACCTGGAGGCCACAGAAGGCAGGATGGGGTGGGCAGAGGCCCGTGGGGCACAGGAAGAGGCTGCTCCATGCAGGTGTCCAGAAAGGCAGGGACACGCCCGAGCATTCGCCGTGCCCTGCTGTTCACACATCGCCTCATGTGCACGTCACGGCATCCTGGAGGTCAGCACCTCTTTAAAATAAGGAAGTGGGCTCAGTTAGAGTCTGGACACAGCGGGGGCCTTGGCGTGTGGAGAGCCAGAGATGTCGTCAGGCCATTTCTAGGCCATTGTTTGTGTAGAGGAGAGACCCAGAATCCTGGTGGGGGCACTGTGAGGGGAGCAGTCGGGGGCCTGTGGCCCTGGGGTCTGGGGCAGGCAGGCCCTCTTCCCTCCCGCAACGGTGGCTGTCCAAAGGGCGGTGGGCACGTGCACGTGTGTGCATAGGTGTGTGTGCGTGTGTGCTGTGCACATTCAAAGCAACGGGTTCCCAGAGCCTCAGGCAACTCCAGAACTGAGGGCCTCGGTGTGTGAGAGCATCTGCGTGGTCAGGCTGCCTCTCGCCTCTGTGTCCTTGTGTCCTCCCTGCCCTATCATGGCAGCCGCAGGCTCGGGAGAGCCCCCCGAAAAGTCTGAGGCAGCCATGCAGGCCTCTGCTTGGCAAAGGCCCTACGGGGCATGTTAGTGGTGATCCTGGTTGCAAGTGATCCATGATCTTGGAGCACTTGCCTCCATGCACTCTCCCGCCCATGGAACGAGTGAGCTGCTGCCGCACATGGCAGCACAGAGCAATCTCACAGATAACGTGGATGAACGAGGGCAGATGTGAACAAGTATTTATAGTTCCATTTACATAAAGCACAAAAATAGGCCACATTGAGCTGTGTGTTAGAAGGCAGGATAGTGGCTGCCCTTGGGGCTTGTGGGCATGAGGTGTGCCCTGTTTCTTGGCCTGGGCTGGCTTCCTGGGTAGGTTGACTCTGTGAGAGGCCACCGAGCCGCTCTCTTCTGGTTCTGCACATCACCGTCGTGCCTTACCCATTGCTGGACTCCAGCCCTGATCTCTGCACCTACTGGTGAAGACACTGTGCTCAGTGCTCATACCCAAACACCTTACGTGTACTTCTCACGTCCTCATCACGCCCTGTGCGGATCAGTCCCATTTTACAGGTAAATAAACTGAGGCCGAGAGAGGTTACATACCTTGTACAAGAGCCCACAGCTAGAAAACTGGCAGAGCTGCGATTCCTGTTAGACAGCCCTCGCAGGCTCTTCCTGTCCCCCACCGACCTGTCGCCCCAGCCCCAACACTGGTGATGCTGACGTGCCTTGTGCTGACTGCCCCCGCAGTGTCGCGGTTCTCCAGCCCGAGAGTGACGCCCCGCCTGAGCCGCAAGCGGGCGCTGTCCATCTCCCCTCTCTCAGACGCCAGCCTCGACCTGCAGCGGATGATCCGGACCTCGCCCAACTCGCTGGTGGCCTACATCAACAACTCACGCAGCAGCTCAGCCGCCAGCGGCTCCTACGGGCACCTGTCGGCAGGTGCCCTCAGGTGAGCCCCACCTGCAAGCAGAGGGCCGAGGGCCGGAAGCTGCGTCGGCCTCCAGTGGGGGAGGGGCTGGCTTTTCAGTTGGCGCTTTCAAGCAGAGGAGAAAGATAGTACTTGTCGTTTTTGTGAATCTGATACTTGCAACTTTTTCATGAGTTCAGAACCAATAATGTGAAGATGTCTGGGTACATCTTCAGGGACTGAGCCCGTCATAAATAATTCATTTGTGAAATTGAAGGTGTTCGAGGTCGAAGGTGGCTTTCCTTGTATTTTACAAGGTGTGATAGAGCAGCCACGCATTGCCCAACATTGAAGGCCACTCGAGGCGTGACACCAATGTGGCCCGAGCTCTAAGCAAGCCTCCGGGCTGGCAGTAGGTCTCCCTCCGTGGCCGAGGCATGGCACACCCACGCCTCGTTGACACCAGTCACCTTTCTCCCCTCTCTGCAGCCCTGGACTATCTGAGGACTCAGACCCCAGCCAGCTTGACTGAAACTCACGTCCTTCCCCGACTTTCCGAGAGAGGCCAGGAGTTGTTAGGAATGTCAGGAGAGTTCAGCCCAAGGACCCAGAAATAGAAGTAATAACAACCACATTGATTACCTTTCGCTGCACAGCAAATCGCTCCAACATTTAGCGTTTAAACAATAAGCATTTATTATCTCACCCCATTTCTGAGGGTCAGGAGTGGCTTAGCTGTGGCTCTCTCGGAGGCCGAGGTCAAGCTGTCAGCCAGAGCTGCCGCCACCCGGGGCTTGACGGGACATCAGCAGAGCGTTCATGCCTCGTGCCCGAGCCTCTCCGCAGGGCTGCTTGGGTGGCCTCACAACGTGGCAGCCAGTCCCCACCCCAGAGCAAGTGGCGCAAGAGCCATATTGTCTTTATGGCTTAGCCTCAGAGGTCACCAATATTTCCTTGGTGTCCCGCTACGGAAAGAGCGACTCCAACGCAAGTGGCGCGATAGAGCCCTGGCGTGCAGAGAGAGGGAATAATGTGAGCTGGGGGACTCGGCGTGCTTCCCGGGTGAGGGGCATTGAACGGGCCTCAGAGGGCAAATGGGGTGCACGTGGTCGGGGAGCAGTGACACAGAGGCATCTAGGCATCAGCGTGGAGGTGCCAGGCGGAAGGGCTGAGGGGCTGAGGGGAGCCTGGCACCTACTGGGGCCGACCTGCCAGAGTGAAGGCCGTATCCTGGGGCAGGACCGGGGAGCTCAGTGCAGAGGAGAGGCCCATGCGGCAAGCAGTAGGGAGCCGCCGCTGGTTCTCGAGTGAGGAAAAGCCGTGGTGATGGAGGGATAGCAGCATGCTCATCCCGGTCCCCGGAGCAGGGCTCTGCCCAGAAAGCCTCTGCCTGACAGAGCCCCCCCAATCTGCTCTCACTGCAGCCCAGCCTTCACCTTCCCCCACCCCATCAACCCCGTGGCCTACCAGCAGATCCTGAGCCAGCAGAGGGGCCTAGGCTCGGCCTTCGGACACACCCCACCCCTGATCCAGCCCTCACCCACCTTCCTGGCCCAGCAGCCCGTGGCCCTCGCCTCCATCAGTGCCACCCCCACCCAGCTCAGCAGCAGCAGCAATTGTCTGAGTGACGCCAACCAGGTAGGTGGGTGCAGGGGGCGCGAGGGTGGCCACTGTGTACTTGTCAAGACCCCACGGGGGCTGTTCACCGCCAGCTGATGCCGGGGACTTGTGAGACTCTGGGCCCGTATCTGGCTGCTGGGATGCCTTCTGGGCAGCGGCCACCTGGTGGAAAGTGCCTTGGGCCAGGTCAGGAGACCTGCCATGGTCCATGGCAAGCTCCTAGTCTCTCAGTTCTGCTGTCCTCTGTCCAATAGACATAATGAGTAAACAGAGAAACCCTCAAATTCACAGGTCCTGGCACCGTGTAGGTGCGGCGTGCATACCATGTGAAGTGGATGGCGAACGAATAATAATAATGTAGTACAGTTCGCTTTCAGAGTGTGCGTTTACCGTGGGCTTTCACAGACAGCCTTATTTGGCCTTGCTAGTGGGCCTTGGGGTGCCCGTGCACCCTAGCCTGGTGCCTGGCATATACCAGGTGCCATTAAAATTCGGCAAGTGACGGAAGTCCTATTTTGCAGATGAGGACGTGGAAAGGCATAGGCTTTGGAACTGGTCAGACCATGGTTTGGATCCTGACCTGCCTGAAAGCAGCAAATCTCTTCGCCTCTCTCTGCTTGAGCCAACTCAGCTGTAAAGTGGGGGCCCGCTGCCTCGCTTGGGTTGTTGGTGTATAAATGAGCCCGTGTGTGCACAGAGCCCTCGCATGCCCCGGATCCTGGGTAGTGCTCATACTGACCGTGATAAAGGTGAAGTGACTGCCCAGGCCACCCGCTGGCAAGAGGCAGAGCCCTGATGTGGCCATGTCCTGGGGAGGAAGACGAGACGCCACGTGATTTAGAAGTATCCCCTGTTTCAGAATGTCCTTCCTCTCCACCCCAGGGCTCCCGAAAGCCGCCCAGCACCTTCCCCGAACAATCGCTGTGGGCTCTGGAAACACCACCTGATCCTGCGGCTCTAGCCCCTCCTCCTGAGGAGCCAGGCCCTGTGTCCTGCTCTGGAGGGCTGGGACGTGGAGTTTCATCAGGACAGGAGCTAGGGTGCCTGGCATTTTCCAAAGAGAGGGTCTCTTTCCCATTTCCCTGCAGTCTTGGGGAGGTGGCAGGCTGAGGTCTGGGCGCTGTCCTGGGCATGCCCTGGCTGGAGGACCAAGGTGGGGGGCTCGGTTTCTGATGCTTCAACACAGAGTTGGTCCAGACATCCTGTGTAGGGAAGTCGCAGAGGTAAAATCCAAAAAGAATTTGGGGTGTCCCTGCCCCACTCCTGTGTGACAGGCTGTCCTCTGCACCTTCCCTCAGAACAAGCAGAGCAGCGAGTCGGCCGTGACCAGCACCGTCAACCCCATCGCCATTCACAAGCGCAGCAAGGTCAAGACCGAGGCGGAGGGCCTGCGGCCGGCCTCACCGTTGGCCCTAACTCAGGTAACCTGCCGTCCTCATCCGCTCAGGCTGGGACCAGGCCTGGTCTCCCCTGAGTTGGCTGCCTCAGGGCCACGCCCCTGGTGGTGGCTGGCGGCCCGCATGGGCGAACGCTGACCCAGGCAGGGCGGGGTGGGCACACTGAGCTCGGCTGTCTCACCGCTTTGTCCCCAGCACCAGCACATGCTGCGTGCCCATCACACATGTGCTGAGTGAATGAATGAGCAAGTCAGGACGCTCTGCCCAGCCTCCCCCGTCTCGGGCTGCGTCGTCTCTCCCCACACCTCTCCCTGCAGCAGCACCGCCCTCAGCCAGGCCGAGTTGCCCCCGTCCCCCGACTGGCTCGGGGCCCTCTGGCTGCACTCTCTCCTGGAACTCCCCCCACCCATCATCTTCACTGCCACCCAGCCTTCCCTCACCCTCCTGGGTATGGCACTTAGCTCTGGGACCCATGCTGTGTTCACACCTGTCACCCCCACCTGTACTGTAAGCCTTGGAGAGGTGACACTTCAGGAGCGGTGCCTGGCTGGGTTCAGTGCCACCAGGGTTTGCACGGGGCCTGGCGCGCAGCTGCTGTGAAACAGTATTTCTAATGACTCAATGCGCATTTGAGGAGGCAAGGGCGGGTCAGGGGTCAGAAAGGCGGGACGGTTCCTGGCGGCAAGAGAGCGAGAAGCAGAGCAGCCCACAGCCCAGGCAGGTCCCTTCCGAATCCCACCACTTCCTCTAGTGCTAGGATGGTACGTCACGTGACGGGCATGGCGTGCCTGCTGACCTCCACGGTAACCCCCGGCCCCCCCAAGGCCTCTCACGGTGGCCCAGTCTCCACATGTCACTGCAGAATACCCGCTTGGACACCAAGGATGCTTGGGGTCTCCTAGCTCGTCTCTCCTGCATCTGCTGGGCCATCCTTTATCAAACCGCAAGCCATCAGGCATGCTCTGAGCACTTAATTTTCATGAAATATTGGTTCCTGTTATTGTCAAGCAAACAGAGGGGTTGGTGACAAATTCCTCTCCCCTCACCGAGACCAAAGCCAGTCTCGGCATGATGCATGGCTGCCACCAAGCCGACCATCATTGGGGACCATTGAAATTGATGGTGGCGACACATATCCGGGGAGATAAACACCAGGAACGGCACCGACAGGGCCGGGAGGTAGGCGCTGAGCACCTGGGAGCCCCGTGGCCACCCACTGGTGGGGTCCTGTGCCCACCCTCCAACCCAGGCGGGCCACACCGGCCTCCTGTGCCCAGCCTGGCTCCACACGCGTGTCCGCAGAAGGAAAGCCGTTTATCGTGAGGAGGTTGCCTCCCTGTCGCTCCCTGTCCTAGTCACTGACCAAGGACTCCCTGACTCATTTGCAAGGCGGGCGGGCTCGCTCCGTCGGCAGAAAACACAGCACAATGAACCCCTCTCTGCTGACGCCCAGCTCAGCCCACGCCCGTGGCCTCTGCTGCCCTCCACTCGGCATGGCAGTCTGTCCTCCCTCCACGTCCTCTCGGGAGCGAGCAGGGCAGCAGCACATGGAAGCAGTACATCAACTTCCAGTTTTCCGTGCAGTGCAGAGGGCAGCAGGAGGCCTGGTCCGTGCCCCTGTGGTCTCACGCCAGCAGCCCCCAGACGGCCCCCATTGCTGAAGAGCTGGAAGCGAGGAGCTCCGGCACCTACCTGCCTGTGAGTGTGGCCCCAGCGCAGCCCCTGGAGTTCCTGTAGGACATGTCATCCTCCTCCTCCTCAGAACAAGCGGACTAGCTGGAAGGTCCTCTGAGAAAGAGCCAGGGCCCCTCTTGGAAGAGCTCCTTGCAAGCTTGGTGGAGAGTTGGTCAGGGCTGTGTCTGCGGCTGGCAGCGAGGGGTCCCCGGCTGACTTCCAACACTCCTGGGAACGGACTCAGCGCGGGGACTGCCACTGTGACGGGGCAGCTGTGGGCGTTGGGGCTCTAAACTGGAAGAGGCTGTTCGCCCCCCTCTGCCTGACGAGTGTTTCCCCAGAGGCCGTTCTGAAAGAGAGCAGCCTCCTGCTGGTTTTGGAAAGGCTTGAGATGTAAAGCGAGGCTTTGCTCCCCGCCTGCCTAGCAGACCCTGGCAGGGACCCTCCCTCCCAGCCTGGGGCATCTGCGCCCCTCCCCGCCCTCGACCCCAGGCAGATACTGCTGACCTGTCCTCATGTCCTTTGCTCAGAGGCTGCCCCTGGCCAGCTCAGGTTAGCATCAGCTGGTGGGGGACAGCTCTGTGGGGTTAATTCTCAGCGTTTTGCTAGTTTAAAAGACTTTGTCCCCTTTGAAAGGCATTTCAGGCACCTGTGATTGTGTGAAGGAATGTCACAGGGGGCTTTTCCTTCACCTCCTTGAAACGGCACGTGGGCCCTAACCTGGTCTGGAGACCCGGGTCCAGATCTAGGCTGCCACCAACTCTGTGTGTTCCAGGGAGGGCACATCAACCTCTCTCAGAGCCCCAGATTCCTGCTGTAATACAAGACCAGAGACACCCATGTTTGGGGGCTGCTGCAGGGAAAACTGGCTCCCCGAGGGAAACCAAACCAAATACGCAAAAGTCACTACCCACCCCGCCTCTTCTCCTGTTCTGCTTGCATGCCAGTGCACCAAGATGCGAAGGAACACCTTGGTGGTGACAAGCCCCATGGGAGAGGAGGGAGGGGCCCCAGGACAGCTGTCCAAGAAGAGCTATGGATGGGAGCTGAGCTGAGGAAAGGAGATAAAAACGCTGATGGGTGTGTGTGTGTGTGTGTTGCATGTATGCATGCGTGTGTTGGCGTGTGTATGTGCACGCACGTGCATCCACACTCATACCAGCCCACGGTCCTTGGCACAGACTGCACGGGGCTGCTAGCCACCTCTCCACAGGGCTGGGTGTCAGGACACGGCTCATGAGGGTGTGCACTTCTCCTCCCCCAGGAGCAGCTGGCTGACCTCAAGGAAGACCTGGACAGGGATGACTGTAAGCAAGAGGCTGAAGTGGTCGTCTACGAGACCAACTGCCACTGGGAAGACTGCGCCAAGGAGTACGACACCCAGGAGCAGCTGGTGCACGTAAGCCTCCGAGCCTAGCTGCACACTGCGGGCAGAGCCCAGGCCACCTAGGACCTTGAGCCTTCCAGGCCTTCTACTAGAGAGGAGGGGCCAGAGGAAGAGGCCACAGGAGATGGCGTGGGCCACATGCCCTGCAAATAGGAGGCATGATTACTTAAGTGTGCCCTGTTTCTAAAAGGAGACTTTCAAATACATATGTAGTATAAGAGATTAAAAGAAAAATAAATATATGAGAAAATCAGGGAAAAAAGAACAATAATGTAAAACCAGGAGTAGAGTTAGTGTTAAAAACTAAGTGATCTGAGATATACTCTACATACATAGCTTTTTTTCTGAGCTTCCTAGCAGCCAATGCAAACAGAGAAATAAGATTAGTTAAACCAGTCAGCATCTATAAGATAATAACGAACCTGACTCTGAAGCCTGAAAGAAGCTTCTCTCATAGAGGAAGGAGTTGATAATTTCCTGTTGGAGACCATTCACAGACACCCAGCGTATATGGGTGCAGGTGGGTGTCTACACACAGATCAGGGAGGGGGCTACTTAAAAAATGCCTGGGTACTGACGGCTCAGGTGATTAGAGAAGACCATGAGAGCCATGAGAGGGTAGGAGTACCCTTCCGGGCATTCCTCTTGGTCCCCACTCCAAACTCCCTTAGACAGCAGCAGCATCACGGCGCAGTCAAGGGGTAGCGTGTGCGACAGATGGAGCAGGGGCTCAGTGTAGGGGCACCTGTCTCCAAACCTGGCTGTGCCGTACCTGGCTGAGTGGTTCTGAGTAAGTGACTTAAGCTCTGTGAGCCTGTTCTTCCCCTGTAAAGGGGGGTGATGTCTACCTCTCAGGGGTCAGCAGTGAATATGCCACCACGTTCAGTCGTTTTCATAAACACTCAGCAGATAGTAGGCACTCTGCACCCGGAACCTCCTCCTCCCTGTTCCGCACACCAGTCCCAGGTGGTTCTCTCTTCTCCATCCAGAAAAGAACTTAGATTCAAGAATTAGTCCCCCTGCCCCACTGCACCCCACTGCCACACTCCTTGGTGAATGAGTGTCTGTAAAGGTGACCCACTAAATTAATGGCTTGTTTGCTGGAGGAGGAGACACACGTGCGCATGCGCACAACTCCTGTTTGCATCCAGAACCCGTCCCAAAGGACCTTGCTTGTCCCCAGCTCTGAACTTACCGTTTAGATACACCACCTCCCTCTGCTTCCTCCCTTCATGTGACTTGCTCCCAAATACTATAGGTTTCTTTTGTGTTTGAGGTTTTCATCCCCAAATTCTCACCCAGGAGACCAGGATTTCCCAGCACACAGTGCAGGTGACATAGAACTTGTGAACCAGGGTCTTATCTAATCCCTTCTGGAACTCAAACATAATTTTTCAACTGGCACCACCTCTTTTGGGTAAACAAGCCCTAGATGGAGAAGGAACGGCTGGAGCTGTGGGTCATAGGACAGATCAGTTAGATGAAAGAGGAGAGGGACAGCATCTTGGGCCAGGGGAGGGCCCGAGCCAGAGTGTAGGGGTGAGGATGTGGCAGGTGTGTTCTGTGATAACTGGGTCAGCACCAAAGAGCAGGCAGGGGGTTCCTCAAACGGAGGCAGAGGGTTCCCGACATGGAAGGAGAACTTTAGCTGTAGCCTCTACCTGTGGCCATGTCTGTCCTGTGGCCATAAGTGATCTCCTCTACTTGACCCTGGAGAGAGCAGGCTCCTTCGTGAGAGGGAAGCCAGACCCCTCTGCCTAGCTCTGACTCTCCTCCGCTCCCTGGGAAGATGGACGCAGCTTGCACCGGCGAGCTGGAGCCCCCAGTCGATTATTAACAATTTGTTGCTAAGTAAACCAATAAGAAAAAAATGAAAGGCATTGTCAGGAAGCATTTTTATCATTTGAAAGGCTTTAAAAATGGAAAGTGAGGCTAATATGATAAGATTTCTCTGGAAGTTCAAAGCGCTGTAGATATTTCTTGCTCCAAGGGTGGCATTTGTATGCGTGGCAGTTGGGCCGGTGGCACAGGGCGGGAGGGCGGTCTGCCGTCTTCTGGGGCAGGGCGCTGCCAGCGCCGATGCTCCCCTCTCCACACAGCCTTGTAGGCAACACAGATCCACTGCAGCCCGGTCCAGTAGAAAGATTCTGCAAGCCACAAACGCCAGCCACGCGTGTAGTTTTACATTTCCTAACAGCACATTTTAAAAAGAGTAAAAAGAAACAGGTGAAGTTAATTTTAATAATATATTTTATTTAACCCGATGTATCTGGAAAGTTATTTTGACATGTAATCAATATAAAACAAAATTATTGAGATATTGGACACGCTTTTTTTCTCCATTCTGAGTCTTTGAGACTGGTGTGTAGTTTGCACTTACAGCCCATCCCAGTTCGGACCGGCCACATTTCAAGTGTGCAAGAGCCCCGTGTGGCAAGTGGCTTCTGCGCTGGGTGGTGTAGGTCTAGAGGTTGTGGGGCGGGGGGAGGAAGGGAAGGCCGGGAGAGGAATTGGGAGCAGAGGAGAAACGGGAGGCCTCCAAGGCTGGAGTGTCCCCGCCCCAGCCATCTCCCTGGGGAAGCAAGCCCAGCCCGACCCAAGACACAGGCAGGGCACAGCCCCGAACAAAGGGAGACGGAAGGGAAGGATGGGACCATGACAGGGCCCTTGGGAGAGAAGCCCTGCAGCAGAGGCAGCGGAAGTCCAGTATATTCTTCACTCTGCTGTGTAGGTGACTCAATCCACCCATTCCCACTCCTCTGTTAAATGAGCAGCTCAAAGGTTAAGGACATAAAGGGCCTCACACATGGCAACATATCCCAAGCTCAGAGGTCGAGCCCGTCCACGAGGGCACACGGTGATGAGCCCAGGGCACGGCCCAAAGGGTGTTCACCTCACATTCCTGGCCCAGGGCAGTGCTGGCCGGGAGAAGTGCGGGGACCCTCTCCCAGGGAGGGCTTCTTGCCCGCGCACCCCCAGGTTGCTTGAGAACGCCCCCTCTGTGATGCTGCAGGGTCAGTTGTGCTGTCCTTGGCTGTCCCACCTTGCTCACCTGGGCCATTTTGTCCCAGGGTCAGCCCCGCACAGTGCCCAGTGCCCACCATTAGGTCAGGTCTGGCTCCACCCATGCTTACTGCCAGGGCCCTGGGCAGGCCACTGGACTCCCGGGCCTTTGTGAAAAGGAGACAAAGCTGTCATCTCAGATCAATGACAGAAATAGAGATGAGGATGCCTTATTTTTCCATTATAATAAAATACGTTATTTAAAAATCTCTGAAACAATAAGGGCGAGCTTAGGAGAGGCTTGTTGTGCACCCACCATGTGTATGTCTCGATGCCTTTGACCATCGTAGACGGTCACTTTGATGACTAATTGGAAAATCCAAGCGAGATAAGTGGCACACAATAGAGCTTCGTTTAATGGCAGCTAATGCTAAAGCATGGGGAGGTGTGGCCTGACACTAGGTCTTATTGGGCCAGTGGTCCGCACGTGGTAGGTGGGAGGGGCAGTAAGGAGAGGGGTCAGCACGGCAGGTGGTCTGCACGTGGGCAGGGGAGGGCCAGGCGCGGGTGGTCAGGCTCACAGTAAGCCGAGGTGCAGTGGGGTGAGTGTCCGTATGTAATGGGGGCGTGCTGGCGGTAGGCGGTGGTCTGTGGGGCGGGCAGCCGGGCTCACCCCCTCCTCGGGCTTGTTCCTCCCGGCAGCACATCAACAACGAGCACATCCACGGGGAGAAGAAGGAGTTCGTGTGCCGCTGGCAGGCCTGCACTCGCGAGCAGAAGCCCTTCAAGGCGCAGTACATGCTGGTGGTGCACATGCGGCGGCACACGGGCGAGAAGCCCCACAAGTGCACGGTGAGTGGCCCTCCTCCCGGCAGCGTCATCAGGACCAGGCAGCAGGCCTGGGGGACGGTGTTTGGACGTGGCTGGCCACAGGCACACTTCGGTGCCTGGCCTAGTGCTGTCTGGGTGTGAGCATCTTGGTAACCACAGTGAGGGTGTGCAGGTGTCCCTGTGGGTGTGTCTGTGGGACTGTGGGCCCCAAGGCACAGCCAGACCCCCACTGGCTGTGTGACACTGGGCAGAGGGGCCGCTTGGTAGCACCCTGCAGAAAGAGTGTCACTGGTGATTCACAACTGAATAATGATGGGTTAAAAATCACTTTGGTTGAGTTTTTCTTTTTTTATAGTGAGCTCAAAGATGAGACCTTTTATATGGTCTCCTTTAAAGAGTCAACAGGATTTGTGGCCATAATTAGTGAGACTATATATATATATATATTTTTTTTTTTTTGAGACAGAGTCTCACTCATTTGCCCAGGCTAGAGTGAGTGCCGTGGCTTCAGCCTAGTTCACAGCAACCTCAAACTCCTGGGCTCAAGCGATCCTTCTGCCTCAGCCTCCCGAGTAGCTGGGACTACAGGCATGCGCCACCATGCCCGGCTAATTTTTCTATATATTTTTAGTTGGCCGATTAATTTCTTTCTAATTTTAGTAGAGGCGGGGTCTCGCTCTTGCTCAGGCTGGTTTCGAACTCCTGAGCTCAAACAATCCGCCCGCCTCGGCCTCCCAGAGTGCTAGGATTACAGGCGTGAGCCACCGCGCCTGGCCTGAGACTATATTTTTAACACAGAAATCGCTGCCCCTCAAAAGGGGAGGTGGTCCAGTGGCTGTGGCTGAAACTCCTGAGAACTCTTCTTGGTGAATTACTGCATTTCACAGAGATATGCATTTTGTCTTCATTTTAATATCTCTGAAATTAGGCTGTCTTAAAATCAATAGTGTTCAGGATCCAATAAAATACGCTGCCCTTGTTGGCAAGTGAGTTCTTTAAATTGAAATATAATTCACATACCATAAAGTTCAACTTATTTTTAAAAATGTACAATTTGGAGATCTTCAGTATATTCACAAAGTTATACAACCATCATCACTAGTTAACTTGAGAACATTCTCCTCACACCAAAAAGAAACCCCGCACCCAGTAGCGGTCACTCCCAAGTCTCTCCTTCTCTTCCTTTCTCCCAATTCTTCTTCTTTCTGTCTCTATGGACTTATCTATTCCAGACGTTTCATTAGAATGAAATTATTCACTATGTAGCCTTTGTGTTTGGCTTCTCTCAATTAACATGTTTTCAAGGTTCATCTACGTTGTAGCATGAAACAGTGCTTTGTCCCTTTTCGTGGCTGCATAATATTCCATTGTGTGGCTAGATCCCATTTCGGTTATCCATTCATCAGTCAACACAAATTTGTGTTGTTTTCACTCTGGGGCTATTATGAATAATGCTGCTTTGAACATGTATGTTCATGTTTTTATGTGGACATACGTTTTCAGTTCTCCTGAGTATGTGCACCAATGGGTGGAATTGTTAGGTCATATGGTCACTGAGGACCTGCCAGATTGTTTTTTTCCAGAAAGGCTACACCATTTTGCATTTCCACCTGCAATGCATGAGGGTTCTAATTTCTCCACATCCTCTCCAGCACTTGTTGTTATCTGTCTTGTTTATTCTGGACATACTAGTGGGTATGAAGGGGTATTTTATTGTGGCTTTGATTAGCATTTCCCTAGTGACCAATGAACATCTTTTCACGTGCTTAGTGGCCATTTGTGTGTCTTCTTTGGAAAACTATCTCCTCAGATCTTTTGCCCAATTTTAAATTTGTTTACTTGTCTTCTTCTTGTTAAGTTGTAAGAGTTCTTTTTTTTTGAACCGACCTGCACACTGAGGGGCGGCAGAGCAGCCCGGCCCAAGAATTCTTTATATATCTAGTTGTTAGACCTTATCAGATATATGATTTCTATGGGTTTTCTTTTCATTTTCTTGATAGTTTTCTTTAAAGCACAAAAGATTTTAGTTTTGATGAAGTCCAATCTTTTAATTGCTTGTGCTTTTAGTGTCGTATCTAAGAAACCATTGCCTAATCCCAGGTCACAAAGATTCACCTATATATTTTCTTCTAAGAATATTATAGGTTATAAATGTATACTTTTATTTACATAAATATGTCTGTATGTGTGGAGAGATACATGGTTTCATTGTGGAGCTCTGCCATTGAGGTCTTTGATCCATTTTGAGTTATTTTTTACATATGATGTAAGATAGGGATCAAAGCTCATTCTTTGCATGTGATCATGCAATTGTGTTGAAAGACTGTTCTTTCCATATTGAATGGTCTTGGTGCCCTTGTCAAAAATCCATTGACCTTAAGTGTATGGTTTTATTTCTGAACTCTCAGTTCATTCCATTTGATGTCTATGTCTGTCTTTTTGCCAGTACCACATGCAGTCTTGATTACTGTAGATTTGCAGCAAGTTTTAAAGTTGGGATATGTGAGTCCTCCAACTTTGTCCTCCTTTTGCAAGATTGTTTTGGCTCTTCTGGGTCTGCAAGGTATTTTCTCAACATCCTGGATGGTAGGTAGCAAACCACAGTCCTCTGACAATATGAGCTGTGAGTTGTAGAAACAGATAAAAGGCATTTGGAGCCAAGTGTGCTCAATCAGACTGTCAGGAACAGATGGGAAGATGTGAAGACGTGAAGAATGAGAAAGCTCCTATTTGGGTGTACGCACCCTTCCGAGGGCAGTTTTCACATGGACGTGGATACAGCTGCGGAATCTTTGGAACAGCTGCAGAGTCTCCTGCAATGATCTCTTCTTCCTTCCTCCCTTCCTCCCTCCTTCCCACCCTCCTTTTCTCCTTCTCTCCTGCCTCTCTCCCTGTTCCCTTCCCTCCTTCCTTCCTTCTTGCTTTCCTTCCTTCCCTCCCAAAAATGTTTCTTGATTGCCTAGGTGCTAAATAGGAAGACAGCAGTGAACAAGACCCAGAAGGTCCCTGCTCTGTGGAGCTTGAATCCCAGTAGGAAGGCCAGATAACAAAATTAAGATCATTATAAATTGTGTCAGAGGGTATAAAGGAGAAGGGGTAGTGTTGTGATTAAGAATATAGAAAACGCTCTTAGAGGAGATGACCTCAAAGATTGAGAGGGCGGGAGCCAGGCCAGGAGCTGGGGTTCAGGGGAAGGTCCCAGCCAGAGGGGACCAGTGTGCACAGAGGCCCCAAGCAGAGAACAACTCAGTGGGGTCTAGGAACTGAAAGGAGACCTACATGGCCAGAGGGGGCGGGGGTGGCCAGCTCACTCAAGGAGTCAAAAGACTCTGGATTTTATTTTCAGCACATTTTAATGCACAGAAAAATTCTTACCAAGAGTGGTACTGGGAAACGGTGGAAAATAATATTTTCAAAGAATTTAATGATACAGGAAGATCCCCTACAATGTGCTGCTGATTTTAAAAGGTTGACTATCTAACTAAAGACTTGATATGCTCCCAATTTTGGTTTTAAAAACACGTGGGGATGAATCGCAGAGTCACCAGAATGACACTGACTTGGACATCAGCAGTGGCTGTCCCTGGGCAACCAATGGTTTTCATTTTTCTCTTTGTGCTTTTCAGCCCTTTCCAAGTTTCCTGGAAAGGAAAGTGACTGTCACTGTTAGACACATGCGTCTGGGTGCACTGGTGGGGCAGAGCAGAGTGAGGGTTGGCGGGGAGGCGGCAGCCAGCTCCAAGGTCGGTCCCCTGTGTTGGATCTGGGCTGCCCCGACTGACCGAGCCACCTCCTTCCAGTTCGAGGGCTGCTCGAAGGCCTACTCGCGCCTGGAGAACCTGAAGACGCACCTGCGGTCCCACACCGGGGAGAAGCCGTACGTGTGCGAGCACGAGGGCTGCAATAAGGCCTTCTCCAACGCCTCGGACCGCGCCAAGCACCAGAACCGCACCCACTCCAACGAGGTACCCTGGCCGGGCGTGCACTGGGCAAGCACACAGGGGCCCTCCTGTCGCCCCTCAGCTTCTAGACGTCAGTAGGCCAGTTGCTAGCCCAGTGCCTGGCTTCCCCTCCCCACCGAGAGACCTGGGAGGGCCGGTCTCCCCGGTCCACATACTTTCCTCTGAAAGGGAAGCGGCCCCGTGAGGTCCCATGGCATGCTTACCCTCTCTGTGCCTTGGTTTCCTCGTCTCTGCAATAAATATAACAGTGCCCTCCGCAAAGGCCACGATGAGGTCCACAGGTGCGGAGGTCAGGGCGGGGAGGGACCTCTCTGATCTCCGAGTGCTGCTGTGCTGCTCGTTACTCCGCAGGGCCGCTAGGTGGGTCCTGCCGCCCCATCCTGCAGATGAGGAAACTAACACCCAGGGAGGTGAAGTCACGAAGTGACTTTCCCCAGTGCCAGGTGGCTTGTAAGTTGTGCTGCAGGTTTGGAGCCCAGGAGTGCTGGTTCCTCTGCAGCTGTGAAAGCAACCTGAGACGCTGCTTCACACCCCCGCAAATTCCCGTGCCACCCGCAAGCAGGTGTCCCTCAGTGGAGCGGCCGCCCCATGCGGCAGAGCGGTGCTGGCTGAGCTTGGGACGAGGTGGCAGGCCCTGCCCCAAGCAGCTTGGGCAGCCGGCAGTGACATTAGGGCTGCCTGGGCCTGCCGTGGCCATCAGCCCCCACAGAGGGCGCACAGGGCAGCCTCTGTAGCCCAGGTGGCCAGGGCTGAGAGAGCCAGGCAGGGATGTCAGGCCAGAGCGCCTGGTGTCTACTGTACCCACCTCCCAGTCCCGGCCCAGCCACAGTTACTGTCACTTAGGCAGACTCAGAAAAGAATGTTTCTAACGGCCTGGACACATTCTGGGCCCAAAAGGGACTTTGCTCCAATGTTTGTAAGAAGTTAGAGGAGTTTTCACAGGCATCTGAACTCTTCAGAGTCCCTACAGACAAGAGCCAGCCTTGGAGGGGAGAGTGTATGTGTATGTGTGTGTCTGTGCATGCAAGTGTATGTGTGTGTGTTCGTGGGCTCAGGACTGAGGTTCAGAAATCCTGGCTTTTCATCCCATTACTGGGTGACTTTGAGCAAGTTTCTTAGCTTCCCTGAGCCTGCCTTTCCTCGTCAGAGAAATCAGGGTTCTAGCATTACCTCACAGGGTACAATGAGCTCGTGCACTTGCTGCTGACATTACAAATTCCAGTGCCCTGTTCCCAGGGAGCAGCACTGTGATCACTCGAGGCATGTGTGTCTCCCCTATAGTCTTTCTGATCCGTGTCCCCAGCTTCTTGTGGCAGGAGCTCCCTCGACCATGTGCTTACCTGCATGAAAAGGTAGCAGACAAGGCCAGGCTGGGCACAGGCTCCTGCAGGCCTGGGGCAGGCACAGCTCTGTCCACAGGGCACCAGCTGCAAATACAGTCGGGCTCTGCCAAGGGACATGGGATGGCTTCAGGAGAACAGGGGGTGTGCCCATGCAAAGTCTGCCCTATAACCCCATCCATAACACGGGCCTGGCTCTCTTCCCAGAAACCCTACATCTGCAAGATCCCGGGCTGCACCAAGAGATACACAGACCCCAGCTCTCTCCGGAAGCACGTGAAAACAGTCCACGGCCCAGATGCCCACGTCACCAAGAAGCAGCGCAACGATGTGCACCTCCGCACGCCGCTGCTCAAGGAGAATGGGGACACCGAGGCCAGCACCGAGCCTGGTGGCCGGGGTTCCGAGGAGAGTGCCGAGGCCAGCAGCACCAGCCAGGCCGTGGAGGACTGCCTGCACATCAAAGCCATCAAGACCGAGAGCTCCGGGGTAAGCGGAGCTGGGCAGCCCAGCTGGCGCAAGGCAGTTCCACAGCCCCACCCAGGGCCCAGAACCCCAAAGACAGCAGTGGGCTCTACCCAGGACCCCCTCTAAGGGCACGATGGTGTCCCTACTCTCTCCAGCTTGGCTTTCCTCCCTTGACCGCCTCTGGCCTCACGTGGAACCTGTCTTATCCAGGTCCTCTTCTGCTCTGACCCAGCTCCTGCTGGGCAGGTGTGGCAGGGCTGTGGGCGATGGGGGTGCCTGCCCCCACGTGATCGGTCTGCGCAGGGCGGGGTGGCCCTGCATGTCTGCCTTTCCCCGCCCCCTATCCCCTGAACTGCACTCCTTTTGTTCTAACCACCTGTTCTTTGTCTCTGCCTCTTTTTCCTGACTGTACCTCCCCTAAGGATAGACGGTACTGAGGTGAGCCGAGGCGCTGGGCGGGGCCACGGGCGGCTGGGGTGCTGGTCCATGCGCTGCCTGGCGGAGATGACCTGGCAGTCCAGGCTCACGGGCCAGGAAGCGGGTTTGGACAGACACACGGCAGGGCGCTGCAGTAGGACCATCGGAATGGGCAAGGGCTGGCAGCAGGTGTGGAGCTGGCAGGTGCGGGCGCAGTGGGGGCCAGGCTGCAAGGACAGAGTAGAGGAGAGGCATGAGTCTGGGCTGCAGAGGTGGGGGACTGCCCTACAGACGGCTCTGAGGGCCAAGCAGAAGAATGTAGATGGTGCCATGAGTTGGTGTCCATGACAGCTTCCCAAGGAAAGGGCAGAGATTTGGGGACACTTGGCCCAGCAGTGAGTCCAGAGGAGCTACATTAGGATAAGCTTCACCTGGGCTCAAGTCTAGGTCACAGTGGACGTAGCCCGGGTTCTATGGCATTCTGCACTGTGTCCATGTGCCGTGAGCTCCCTGCCCCACTCCACCCAACCCAGAGGGAGGACTGCTTTGGGGTGGCCATTTGGGCAAGGGCTGCATCCCACGGTCCTCCTTCCCTGGTCATCCCTTTCCAACAACCTGCCTCTGCTTATCGAGACCACCCCGCTTGGTGGAAGGCACCTATTCGCAGGTTTTCCTTGTTCCTTGTGTCACTGTGCACACCGCACTGTTGTCGGGAATGCTTCGGTACCTTTTTACATGCCAGACTGCGTGGCTTCCGCATGCATGCCGGGTACTTCCCATACACCTGCTAGCCCTGCACCAGAGGCAACTCAGGTCCATCTCATAGTTGAGGACACTGGGGTTAAGAGGTGAAGTGACGTGACCATCTCATGCAAACAAACAAGTGATGGTTCACAAGCTCCTCCAAGAGGCAGCTTCCTACCCCCACCCGGCCACGTGCAAGGTGTGGCACGTGTGCAGGCGTGGGTGCGAGACCAGGCAAGAGTGTAAATGCCCCCTAAGTCTGTGCCTTCTCATCTTGTCCCCCACAGCTGTGTCAGTCCAGCCCCGGGGCCCAGTCATCCTGCAGCAGTGAGCCCTCTCCTCTGGGCAGTGCCCCCAACAATGACAGCGGCGTGGAGATGCCGGGGACGGGGCCCGGGAGCCTGGGAGACCTGACAGCCCTGGATGACACGCCCCCAGGGGCCGATGCCTCAGCCCTGGCTGCCCCCTCCGCTGGTGGCCTGCAGCTGCGCAAGCACATGACCACCATGCACCGGTTCGAGCAGCTTAAGAAGGAGAAGCTCAAGTCACTCAAGGATTCCTGTTCATGGGCTGGGCCGGCTCCACATACCCGGAACACCAAGCTGCCTCCCCTCCCGGGAAGTGGTGAGTGAGTTGGGTGGGAGAATCTGGGGCAGCACCAGTTAGGCTCACACCCACCAAGTGCCATGTGCTGTCTCACTGGATGCCCACAATAGGATAGATCCTACCAGCCCATTGTACAGGTAAGGAAACTGAGGCTCAAAGAGGTGGAAGTGCCTTACTCAACTCAATGGCAGAGGTGAGATTTAGCCTAGGCCTATGTGGCTCCAAAGCCCATGCTCTTTCACCTACACCACGCTGCATCCCTATAACCCCCTGAAAACAGGCAGACCCTGCTCACATCACCCTCTTCCTTGTCCAGTCATTTATTAGGCACTTTCTGTGAGTACCATGGCAAAGGCCCTATCAGGATAGCAATATAATCCCGGTTCCAAAGGAGTGTGTGGTTGGAGGCCATGCCGCCAGATTCACACTCTACCATACAACAAGTCAGGTAGCACCGAAGACAGAGCTTATGTCTGAGCTGTGCAGAGGAGAGAGAAAGCGTGGCCAGCTAGGGTAGAGCAGAGAGGACTTCATGGAGGAGACAGCACTGTGCTCAGCCTCAGGAGGTGTCGCCCAGGCTTTGAGATGGAAAGTGCTTCGACAAGCATGTCTCGAGGGCTGACTCTGTGCCTGGTGTTTTGCTGGACACCAGGGACTCAGCCACCAGGCTGCCCGTTGTGGTGGACACTGCCATGTACCAACTGCTCTCCCCCAAAGAGAGGATTTGTTGCCCCAACTGTTGGCAGACGGCCTTGAACTCTTAGCCTCCTACAGGGGTCTCATGGGTTGCAGACAGCTACCCCACCCCACGTCACTCCTCCCCTGGGCAGCCCACGTCCAGTTACCGGTCACTACAAGAGTGTAAACATCCAGCCATCTCAGCCCAGCTTGGGGCAGCACTGAAGGGCTATTGGGGGTCCTGACCTCCCTTTGAGATCAGCCTGGGCTCATTTCTCTGCCCACTCCTGCAGCCTGCCCTTCCTTCCATGAGTGTGGCTCTCTGGGCACTCCTTCTAAGCGGCCTACTCATTAAACTCCAGCTCGGGGGAGCCCAACTGGCAGCACCCACCCGTGGACCAGGAGAATAGAATACAATGGCCTGGGCCTTCCTGGGCTGTACATCCCCTCCTCTTGATAACCCAGCCCTACGGAGAAGCACGTCTTATCCACAGCTGGGGAAACTGAGGACCAGAGTAAGGAGAATTTGGGGCCAGCCAGGCCGTGGCAGAGCTAAAACTGAGACTGGGGCCTCCTGACTTGCCCTCCCCCACCCTCAGCTATAAGTGCCTCCATTTGCTTACTTACTGCTCCTTCCTTCCCTTCTTTCATTCAAAAATCGTCTACCCAGTGCCTGCTTTGTGCCAGGCCCCTCTCTGGGGCCCTAGGCTCAGCATTCAGTGTGGTAGAGCAAGCAGAGCACTGGCCCCTTGTCCCTGGGAGCTGACCCCTCTGCTCTCCCGCAGGCTCCATCCTGGAGAACTTCAGCGGCAGCGGGGGCGGCGGGCCAGCAGGGCTGCTGCCCAACCCACGGCTGTCCGAGTTGTGTGCCAGCGAGGTGACCATGCTGAGCCAGCTGCAGGAGCGCCGCGACAGCTCCACCAGCACGGTCAGCTCGGCCTACACCGTGAGCCGCCGCTCCTCCGGCATCTCCCCCTACTTCTCCAGCCGCCGCTCCAGCGAGGCCTCGCCCCTGGGCGCCGGCCGCCTGCACAACGCCAGCTCAGCCGACTCCTACGACCCCATCTCCACGGACGCGTCGCGGCGCTCGAGCGAGGCCAGCCAGTGCAGCGGCAGCTCGGGGCTGCTCAACCTCACGCCGGCGCAGCAGTACAGCCTGCGGGCCAAGTACGCGGCCGCCACGGGCGGGCCCCCGCCCACGCCGCTGCCCGGCCTGGAGCGCGTGAGCCTGCGGACCAGGCTGGCGCTGCTGGACGCGCCGGAGCGTGCGCTGCCCGCTGCCTGCCCGCGCCCCCTGGGGCCGCGACGGGGCAGCGACGGGCCTGCCTACGGCCACGGCCACGGCCACACGGGGGCTGCGCCCGCCTTCCCCCACGAGGCCCCGGGCTGCGGTGCTCGGCGCGCCAGCGACCCCGTGCGGCGGCCCGACGCCCTGGCTTTGCCGCGCGTGCAGCGCTTCCACAGCACCCACAACGTGAACCCCGGCCCGCTGCCACCCTGCGTGGAGAGGCGGGGCCTCCGCCTGCAGACGCACCCGAGCGCCGACAGTGGCCTGGCCCACGGCGCCTATTCGCCCCGGCCGCCCAGCATCAGCGAGAACGTGGTGATGGAGGCCATGGCGGCGGGGACAGACGGCGCGGGGCCCGAGGCTGACCTGGGGCTGCCGGAGGACGACCTGGTGCTGCCCGATGACGTGGTACAGTACATCAAGGCTCACGCCAGTGGCGCTCTGGATGAGAGCGCAGGGCAGGTATATCCCACAGAAGGCACCGGCTTCTCTGACAACCCCAAACTGCCCAGCCCCGGGCTGCACGGCCAGCGCAGAATGGTGGCTGCAGATTCCAACGTGGGCCCCTCTGCCCCTGTGCTGGGAGGCTGCCAGCTGGGCTATGGGTCACCCTCCAGCCTGAACAAAAATAACATGCCTGTGCAGTGGAACGAGGTGAGCTCCGGCACCATGGATGCCCTGGCCAGCCAGGTGAAGCCACCACCCTTTCCTCAGGGCAGCCTGGCCATGGTGCAGCAGAAGCCAGCCTTTGGCCAGTACCCAAGCTACAGTCCACAAGGCCTGCAGGCGAGCCCTGGGGGTCTGGACAGCACCCAGCCACACCTTCAACCCCGCAGCGGAGCCTCCTCCACACCCAGGGTAAACTACATGCAGCAGCTGCAACAGCCAGCGACAGGTGGTCAGTGTCCCAACATGACCACCGCTATGAGCCCCCAGACAGGCTATGGCCAAGCCCACCCCCAGCTGAGCCCCAGCACCATCAGTGGGGCCATGAACCAGTTTCCCCCATCCTGCAGCAACGCGACAGCCAAGCCAGGCCACTTGGGGCACCCTCAGCACACAGAAGTTGCCCCCGACCCAACCATGATGGGCAGCCGGCACAGGGAACTCGGGGTCCCGAATTCAGCCCTGGCCGGGGTGCCACCACCTCATCCAGTCCAGAGCTACCCACAGCAGAGCCATCATCTGGCAGCCCCCATGGGCCCGGAGAGCTACCGCCAGGGCCCCAACCTCCTGCCTTCCCACCAGCCTGGCTTCATGGAGCCCCAGCCAGGCACAATGGGGGTGTCTGCTGCAAGCTTTGGCCTAGTGCAGCCCCGGCCACCCCTTGAGCCCAACCCTGCTGGCCGCCACCGGGGGGTGCGTGCTGGGCAGCAGCAGTTGGCCTATGCCAGGGCCACTGGCCATGCCATGGCTGCTATGCCAGCCAGCCAGGAAACAGCAGAGGCTGTGCCCAAGGGTGCAGTGGGCACCGTGGTGTCACTGCCGCCTCAGCTGCTTCCCCAGGACACAGGCGGGGCCCAGGACCACAGCATGCTCTACTACTATGGCCAGATCCACATGTACGAACAGGATGGAGGCCTGGAGAACCTCGGAGGCTTCCAGGTCACACGGTCCCAGCCACTGCAGCCACAGGCCTGTCCAGACAGCATCCAGCCCCAGCCCTTGCCCTCGCCAGGTGTCAACCAGGTGTCCAGCACCGTGGACTCCCAGCTCCTGGAGGCCCCCCAGATTGACTTCGATGCCATCATGGATGACGGTGATCACTCAAGTTTGTTCTCGGGTGCTCTGAGCCCCAGCCTCCTCCACAGCCTCTCCCAGAGCTCCTCCCGCCTCACCACCCCCAGGAACCCCCTCACCCTGCCCTCCATCCCCGCAGGCATCAGCAACATGGCCGTGGGGGACATGAGCTCCATGCTCACCAGCCTAGCCGAGGAGAGCAAGTTCCTGAACATGATGACCTAAAGCCCGAGCCCCGGCGCTGAGCGGACCCGGAGGGGCCGTCGCTTCCCAGAGCGTGGGGTTTCGTTCGTTTTGTCTTTTTTCCAAAAAGTATTAAATAGGCCTGAGGGATTTTTGCCCATGGCTGGTTCAGATGACATGTTTTAGAGAAGGTTTGTGGGCATGCTTTCTGGTCTTTTGGATTATTTTTCAGAACATGTAAAGTCTCAATAGGAAAGGAAAGAAAGGAATGAAAAACGCATTCACACAGAGCTTTCCAGCCTGTGGTGTGTGGGACTCCGCTGTTCGGGCTCCTCGCCTCTGTCATTAGGCTAACGAGGGATTACGTTGGCCAAGGGCTTTCCAAGGACATGCAGAAAGAGGGTGGGGGAGCCGCGTTCAGGTTGGAATCTGAACGTGTGCTAGATATTCTGCTCCAGGAAGAAGAGCTGCTCATTCTGCTACCTGCAAAAGGAAGGAATTCCTGGCCCACTCGAATTCTCCTATGAAGCTTAATGCTTGAGGTCTCTAAGGTCCCTTGCCATGGAGGAAAAAAACATCCTACCTGGATGATTCGGAAGCACATCCTGATTCCAGGTTTGGTAGAGCTGGCATCTCTACCCCATCAAGCCAAGTTTGGGACCTGCAGCCCGTCCTAGTGTATATGAATGAATAGAGTATGTAAGTATCACCAGAAAAAGTAAAGAAAACATTGTACTACTCGGGGCAAGCCCAGAATCCTCCCTGGCTTCTCCAGACGGTGTTCACAGTGTTTGCATGTGGAATGTAGCCCTCCCTGAAAAGAACACTCATCTCCAAATACCTCGGGGCTGCTGTTGCTGCTGTGGGGTGTGGATGGACCAGGGCCTCGAGGAGGTGAGGGTGCACCCAGGCCCAGCCTCAGGCCACCCTGGGAGTCTCCCAGTAGGAAGAGGAAGTCGAATGTTTACCCGACCCTGTTTCTCCAGTGCACTATCCCCCCACTTTTCCATGGAAAACTCCAGGGCTTGATGGCAGCCTTTGCCCAGGCTCCCCTGGCCGCACTGCCCACTCACCAACAGCCCAGTGGTCTCCGCCAAGCCACGACGTGCAGTCCCGATATCTTCTGCGTTCCCTTCCCTCCGCCCTCCTGGTCATTTGTCAGAATGACGACATGCATGGTGTTTTGGGTAAGGGTGGAAAGGTGAAGGGGTTGATCCTTGGGGCTCTGATGACCATCACTGAATTTTCCTGTCCAGTGTGACCAAGCCCCACCTAGAAATGGAATTTGGAACTGGCTTCGGAAGACATTATTCCTGAACATACTGTAGGGTGAATTGATGCATCTTCCACACCACACACGCAAATGCACAAACACGTACCCCAAACCTCTCGTGTTGAATTTGTGGCATCCTTCCCAAACCAGTGGCACCACTCTGAGCTTGACTCTGACTGTGTCCCTGGCTTCAGTGAGGACTGTCTTAAGAGCGTCTGTGGACAGGGCCAAAATTATGTGGGCCATCTGCATCTCAGCACATTGGTCTCTGTTAAGGTCCAGAACCAAGGGACATTGCCAGGGGTCTGTGGCTCTGTGGTGGTGTTCCTTCATTCCCTCCCTGAGACAGGATTCCACTCGCCATTCCCAACCTGTATATATTCTGTACAGAAGACACCATCCCTGAATATACTGTAGGTGAATCGTTCAGCCGAATTTATATTTCCAAAACATTTTTAGCTTTTTCTACATGTTATGAATTGAGATGACATGCTCAACTTGTAAATAAGTCTTTTTGTACATTAAAAAAGTAATTTTTTCATAATTTATCTTGTCTATCTACTTCTCCCTTGACAGTAGTTAATGAGAACCTGGGCAGTAAATTTGGTGCATTTGAACGGAAATTAGGCTGTATTTTTTCTTAACGGTGTCAAAATTGACTATCCTGCCTTAGCCAAGAAATGTTTAATGCTGGGGCATTTATTGGCTGTTTGTTTGTTGTCTCCATGGGGGAGGACAGGGTCTGACATTTTACAGGGAATATCTGGCTGTTCTGCCAGTGATTGATCTGAACATCTAAGTAAGTTTGCCGAGAACCACGCGCACCAGATGCAGGTGTAGACCAAACACTCCTCCAACCACACTCCTCTCTGCTGGAGCACACTGGAGTCTGGTGGGGGTGGGGCTGGGAAGATGGGCAGCCCCCCAAGGCTCTGGTGCGGGCTAAAGGAGAGAGTCTTGGCAGGCAGATGGCACCTCCAGGATACCCAGCAGGCAGCCTTGAGTGAAGGGGCCGTGGTGCACAGCCATGAGCAGGAGCCCTGAGCCCTGGGGGGCCACCTGGCAGGTGGACAGGGAGAGCCTAGGTCTAGCAAGCTGTTGGCAGCAATTGGCCACTGCAGTAAACCCCAGGGGAGTCCATGAGTGAGCCGTGAGGCCCTGCCTGGGGGTCGGGACAGATTCTGGAACTGAGATGGGAGGTGGGTGGAGGGCAGGGAGGAGAGCCCCGGGACTGAGATAGAGGGTTGGAGGGCTCCATCCGAGGGCCAGGCACGGCAGGCAGCCACACTTCCAGCCCAGCCTCCTCTGCAGGAGAAAACCCCCTAGCACACAAGGTGGACGGTCTGGAGGCCAAAGCCACATGGGACATCACCCTTGCCTGGAGGGCGTTCAGCTCAAAATTGGTTCTGTGGGATGAGACCAAGTAGACAGGAAAAAGGGTTTTCTGGTAAAATAAGTGCAGGAAATCCCCAAAGAAAACAGCATGTAGCAGGTACCCTTGCTGCAGGCATCCCAGAGCCGTCACTGTGAGGCAGGGGGACCACAATTCTCGCACCGAAGTTTCCTGCTGGAAAGATTACAGTCTCGGTGCTGAATCCTCCCCAAGGAGGAGTTGCCTGCCCGACAGCGCACGCGTGCTGGGTTCTGCCCTTCGCTGTCCTTCCAGAGCTCACCTTCAGCACTCACTCCTTCTCTGCTTCGCCACCTGTTCCAGAAGCAGCTCTGCCCTGCTTTGTGGGGAGGGGAGGCCTAACGTGTTCCATGCTGCCTGGGACTGGACGACCAGGTATTAAGGAGCCCAGCATTGGCCATTCAGCGGAGCCACCTCCTCTGTGTCTGCCAACTACGACCACAGTCGTGCTGCGTGACAAGTGAAACCCAGCACCATACAACAATAAACGTTTATTTAACCCACGAACCTGTGCGTCTTCTGAGGTTGGCTGGCCCAGGCTGGCTCCTGCATCTGTGGGCCAGCTGGGGTCAGCTAATCTGGACAGCCCGGCTGGGGCAGCCTGGCCTTGCTCCACGTAGCTTCCACCTTCCTGGCAGGGCCAGGGTGCTAGCCATGGCAGAAGCACAGGAGGGCAGGCAGACAATGCAGGCCCCCAAAGCAAGTCACGTGGCCACACCCATCGCCAGCGAAGTGGGGGCATACTCCTGTGGAAGTGAGGGAGGGTGAACATTTCTCAGCAATAACACAGTCTGTCACAGTCTGCCCTCGTGGAGGCCATCGCTCACGCCCCATGTGAGGGCAGCGGAGTAACTTTCAACCTCTTCCCGCCTGTAAGAAGCTGGGAGTCTGAGGTCCTTTATGTTTCGGTCTCGAGTCCCCTTTTAGTCCACACTCGCGATGCATTTGCCTGTGGCGCTCTCAAACATCGTGTGGGCTTGCCGTGTTGTGAGTCCAGTCCACGGTGTGTGCCAGAAGCCACGCCACAGGTCCTTTGGTGCCATGCCTCTCTCTGCGTTTGATGACTGCACGCCCACACCCGGCTGCCCTGGGCCATGCCCTAAAGGTTTCTGATGTGGCTGAAAGGGTTTTGTAGATGCCACCTGACTCCTTTCAAGGACTTTGAGGCAAAGGGCATTGCAATCAAGTGCACATCCTCGATTTTGTCTCTACTTTGAGGCGTGTTTTGCTAGCACTGCCCTGGGTTTGGTCTTTGCCTCCCAGGCCAGATCTTGATTTAAGGATCTTTTATGGGCTGGAGAAGACTGAAGACGAGAAATAACTTTGGTTTCTAAACTCCGCTTGTAAGCTGGCCAGCTCCATTGTGAACTCATCTCGTACTTGTAGCACCTTATCATTTGCAGCTCAAAGAAGCTCATGTTTACAATGTTCTGCCTGGAAACCACCCACTAATTCATAGGTACATTTTCCTCCTTCCCAAATTATCACAGGCAATAATTTTACCAAACGTCTCTCCACCAAATGACACGGGGCACCACTTTTCTTGCCGTTTTCCCAACCTCCTCTAAATTTCCTCACTGCTCAGTTCCAAACCTATGCTGTGTATTTTAGGAGCAGCAGTCTCTCCTTCTAGATACCAGTTTCTGAAGCCTAATAATGCTGCCTAATAAAAACAGCTCACGACAAGAAGCGTTGCTTTAGCTCATGGGTCCGCGAGTCGGCTGAGGTGGGCTCACCTGGGCTGGGCTCGCTGAGGCGCCTGGGCTCTGCCCCTCCTCCCCTGGGGCCAGAGGGCTACGCCAACATTTAACGGTGACGGCGGAAGTGCAAATGAGCAAATGCGAACACAGGAGGCCTCTCTGGGCCTAGGCTAGGACCCGGAGGAAGTCACATGGCTGAGCCCCAAATCAATGGAAAAGGGGAGCGCACTCCTTATGATGAGAGGAGACAGGGGTCTGAGCGATAATCCAGCGTACCCCAGCCTCGAACCCAGCTGTTACCGCAGTAAGACTGACGTTGCAACCTCCATCTGTCTCCTGAGTCTGTTGGTTCTGAACTCAGAAGAGGGAAACAGAAGTGGGGTCACTCACTGGCACCCTGTAACCACTGGTGTGCCTGAGCCAGCTACTGAGCCCATTACATGTGTCTCTTCCCAGCTCCAAGTTCAGAGACCTCACACTGGTAACTTGAAACTGGCTGTGTTGGGAGAATTTACACCATGGGGATCAGCAAACGCCACAAATCAGGGCTTCCCCCTCCTCAGCCCCAGAGGACTTGAAGATTTGCCAGCATGTCTAGTGTCATACCCAAGCGCTGTGAGTTGACAATAGCTTGATGTGCCCAGCAGTCTTTTCCAAG